CTGTCCAGTGAGGATCCAGCCAATACTCTGGAGCAGCTCAAGATCTCCACGTTGGCAGAGAAGGACTGGCCTTCCGATGAGACGCAGGAAATGAGCAAGTCGGGTAAGTTGTTACGCAGGCTGTTTTTTAAAAAGGTTTGGCATGTGGTTTTGCTGTGCTTACCGCTGTTGTAACTTATAAAGCTCCACATACAGTCCTTGTGAAATTTACTACCTACATTACCAGCCATTGGATGACTTTTTTCTACACTTTTTTCCATGCGATTATTGTGATCTTTTGGAAAGATCACACAGTTGGCTTTTGTAGATCTGGTGAGTATATCAGATATAAGTCGCAATTCCAAATACTGTATGTAAAAACAAATGATAGCAGATCTAGGAGTAATGTGTACATCTCTGGTTTCGGCATCAAACAAAATGCTGGTTGCCTTAGTAAAATGTTTTGTGCATTTTCCCTGGCTGTCAAAGGCATAAAGTATGAGGCAGATTAAAGCAATTCCACTTCGTGGGCTTACTAAATCATGACTAAAGGGGCAACGTGATTAAAGTTGAAGTTAAGTTAAATTGAAGTTAAATTTTTAGCAATTGTAATTCCTGAAAAAAAATTAAGCTTATTTCATTTTTAGAACTAAGCTCATTAAACACAGGGCGAAGAAATACTTGGAGAATACTCTAGACAGATACTATATTAGAATAAAAGTTAATTATTAATTTATAGGAGAAGTCTATATACTGGACTGGAGGGTTGGATTGGCACTGTAATAGCATGACATAGTGTTTCTGAAAACGGTGAGCTTTGATCTGTGCTTGTCGTAAATTCACCTCTGGAAATACTGTAATCTTTTTGACTGAGGATGGAATTCGGGTTTATGATGAGATCTTTTCTGCCAGACACTTGCACCTTAACACTGCAAAGTCCAGTTACAGTATTTAATTTCTTTGTCATTGATTGTTCTTTTCACTGCTTTGTCTTCTGTCTTCTGCTGGTTATTGTAAATGAAAATCCGATCTTACTTGATTTATCTGGTTAAATACAGCATTGTAATTAATGATACTCCTAATAGTAAATGTCTTCATTCTATTAGCCTCTATGGTTCTGTGTTTTGCTGAGGTGTTACAGCAGAAGGACTGGTCAGCTGAGGAACTTGCAGATCAGTATCTGTTCTGCATATTTAGTGGTTGACTGGAGCCAATTCTATAGCAACTGTGTTTCTCTGAAATCAGTTACGTTTGCTGCTAATACAGAAGACCATATAAATAGTACCACTGTCTCTCTTTTTTTTTTAAAGTTCTCACTACTCTTTTGACAGGGTGTTTTTAAAATGAGTTATGCACTCTGGATTTGATATTGTACAGAAGACTTCCACTTCAGTACCCTGTCTGAGTCTCTCAGCAGTCAGGCCTGTGGCATTCAGCACTGCATTACATCATCATCACCCCCTGCTATAGAATCGAATAGGCAAGATTTAGACTGCAGTTAGACTTGGCTGATGGTGAATTAGCATTTCTTCACAGTCGCCACAGAGGAGCAAACTGAAATCAAGTTAATGGGCTTCCTCATTAAGCAGTGAAGAACCCATTAATGGAATATAAGTCTGAAAGAAAATGAGGTGGAAAGCACTGTGTTGAACCTGAGCATGTTATTCAGGTTACATCACCAATGACTAACATAATCAGAAAGAAGCGTGTGTCGATGCACTTCATTTTGCTTGAAAAGGAGGACAGGGCGGGTGCTTGGGTTGCTTTATGAAATGAATCACTGAGCCATAAATGATTATATGCTCTAGCACAGTATGTAAGTGCCAGTAATGACTCATTCTTCTGATTCTGATTTGCAGACACGGATGTTTCCAAAAAGTTGGATTCGGGTCTGCACTTGAAATGGGATGATCCATACTATGACATTGCAAGGCATCAGATTGTGGAGGTGGCAGGTAGGATCAAGAGGGTGCCTTCCATTTTCTATCAGTGTGATGGGGGGGGGAAGGAAAAAATGTTTTTCAAAGGAATAATATGCACAACAAATTACAACTTATCTGATTAGCTTCATGGAAAGATTGTTCGCAAAAAGATGTTTTTAGAAACCAGTGTGACTCATGCACTTAATTTTGCTTGGTAAAATAGTTGAATGTAGGAAATGTAGAAAACATACCTCACAATAATAGCTTTCTTCACTTTTTTGTTTTTCCCATTGAGCACTATTCAATAGAGATATAGAAAGAGTAACAGAATTTGGTGAAGTGTCCATTGATGGTTTTGAAACTGTAGCCATTCTAGAAATTCTTGGTTTACTGGAAAAAAGGTGCCTGTAGATTATCTGAACTAAAACTACACTCTGTTTTACCCTCAATGTCATTTTCTTTCCACTGCCAAGCAAATCGAATCCATTCTGTGCATCAGAGAGTCAGAGTTAAGGAGGCAGGTTCTGCAGTTCGCAGCAGAACAGGAGAAGCTTGTGACCAAAAAGACTTTCACACAGAGAAAGACTGTGCAAAACTGAAGAGAGAGACAGACAAGGGGACACTGAAGACTTCTGTGATTTCCCACCAAATAAACATGAGAATTCTTCTTAACAATGCTCACATGACCCGATCAAAAGCACTAAAATACCATCTGATCCAGGACCCTTCCTTTGATTTTTTTTCTGTAAGCTCTTTCTGAATTAAATTTGGCTATTAAAAGGGCTGGAAGTCAGACCAGATGGATATAATAGATATAAGTATGTTCTTGGCAGTTCCCCTAAAATGTGGTGTTAGAATCTCAGAGGGGGAGAAAAAGCTTATGCTCACAATTGTGTGAGTTCACAAAAGGCTGGCTTTTTAATTTTATTTTGCAGAAGAGGAAAATGTGGGCAGGCTTTGTAGGCAATGTGAAACTCAGCAAGGCCTGTATCTGTGGGAGGTTTTTGATGTCTTTCTCTCCTGTTGGGAAGTGACCGTGAATGAAGGTCTTATCTGAGACCAAAGTTCTAAAAATAAATTTCTGAATGAAAAACAGCACAGCATATGAGATCAAGGAAAGTCACAGACCTGCTGCATGAATCTTGTATACTGAAGGAAACTATGTAAAGAATGACATATGGACTGTGGTTCCAACATTTACACGTTTGACAAACAAATTGCTTTACCATTTGGGGGAAGAAGCTGAACAAACTTTTAAATTTCGGTAGATTGGGCAGAAAATGTGTGAATACCCAGGGATGACAAGGTGAATGAGGGGACGTTTTACAAATAATTAGCTCTTTAATTATACTATAATATTTCTGTTTTTCATTGCAAGATTTTGCTCTTCAGTAAATAAAATGACATTCATTTTGTTTTACATATTACTCTGTTGCATAGCTAGGCGAGTCTTTCTCTTGCATTAGCAGTTGTATTCTTTTGTGTAAAGGTGATGATAACTTTGGCAGGAAGGTTATTGTGTTCAGTGCCTGTCGGATGCCTCCACACCATGAGCTTGACCATCACAAACTGTTGGCGTGAGTATCTGTTTCCTGCTGATTATCATTCTCGGTTCCTCTTACAGCAAACTGGTCAGTTCTGCTTATGAGCGCTTTTTACATTCATGTTTTGCAGCGAGTCAGATAAATTCTTTTGGAATTGTTTAAAATGCCTTAGTTGTGCATTTTCCCTTTTCTTTCATCGTTTAGTGTTTGCAAAACACCAGAATAGCAGTTTCTGGGCTGATGGATTTTTTATTGTTAAATTGCTTGTTTCTATTGTTTTAAATGTTCCTAGTCCTGTATATGTTTTTTTAGCCCGTACTGCATTTTAAAGTACTGCTGTTATTATTGTTCTTCATGTATAAATCTGGATTATATTTATAGGTTTGACTTTTTTTACTTTTTCATCACATGAAGCATATGAACTTATGCAGGTATGCTGTCATCTTCTGTCTTTCGCAGGTACCTGAAGCATACCCTGGACCAGTATGTTGAAAATGACTACACTCTCATTTATTTCCACCATGGGCTCACCAGTGAGAACAAGCCATCCCTCACCTGGCTCAGGGATGCCTACAGGGAATTTGACCGAAAGTAAGTTGTACACTCTTAGTTATGAGTTGCTTTTACATAGTTTCACATATCAAGTACAATAGAAACTAAAAGGTTGTAGATATGGAGTTTAAGATATAAAAAAAAATCATTCTGCATTTGTAAGTAGGAAAAAAATACATTCCACCCTAAATTAAATTATTTCAGGTGGGTACCTGTAGCTGTGTCAGCATGCGTAAGCTGCAAAGGATCAAATTTTATTCCATGCTGAAAAAAAAAAAAAAGAAAATGCAACGTTTCAGCCGTGGAGCCTTCTTCAAGACGACTGAAGAAGGCTCCATGGCCAAAACGGCATGGAATAAACCTATTACTTGTCCCTTAAATGAAATTATGCCAGATTCATGACTGATACTACTGTAATTCTTCTTCCTTGGCTCGGATGCAGACATGCTGACCTGCTGTTTGCACTGGTGACTATGATGTAATGAAACCAGGTTGCTGCTATATTAGTGGACCAGGGATCCACTAATCCTCTTGCCCAGTGTGTTGAGACAGCACAGTTGGCGCTGTCCCTTGGACAAGAGGTCCTGAATATCTGGTCACTATGCTCTGATGTTTGTTAGAGTAGAGATGTTGACCAGGATGTCCTGACTAAATTCCTGCTGTGCATTTTGAGCTGCCTAAATCCCTAAAGAATGGATGTTGTGTTTCAGTAGTGGATGAAGTGTGTCACTTCCTGTTTGTAAAGCACTCTGGGATCCTTTGAGATCAGAAATCTTATGCTAACTCAAGGAATCGATAATGATTATTATAATGGTTGATTTCAGGTACAAGAAGAATATCAAGGCTCTGTGCATTGTCCATCCCACCACTTTCATCAGAACACTGCTTATTCTTTTTAAGCCAATTATCAGGTAGCTTTTTGTCTTTAACTTTTTTGATGTCCATGTTATTAAAGAAATACTGCAAACTAAATTGTAATGCTTTAAAATCCTATACTACCAATATTTTTACCTTTGTCACCCTAACTATGCCAAATACTGCTCTCGTGTTCCAGAGATGTTGAAAATTTTAATGAGCTACTCAATTTTCACTACATAAAAAAGAAACCATCAGCAGACATTACCACCGACTGGCTTGACTGTCCTGTTATGATATAATATTTATTTAAAGTCCATTTTAATTTTTTTTCTGTTGGATTAATAAGACATTCTACTGGTTTTCTTACCAAAGGTTGACTGGATTAAATAAACATGAACACTAATGGTGCTCTTCTAGGTTAACACACGTCACCTGTTGTGGGATGTGTCAGCTGTAAATTGTGTTTAGCACAGTTCTGCAATTAAAGTGCCTAAACATCCATACAGAAGTGCCTATTAGTGGCTTTAGACAAATGGGAAAGTTAGAACAGTATAATTTATGTGATAACCACTGACCAGCTCTAAAATGTTCTTTATGCCCTGTATCCTTGCCAGCTGGAAGTTTGGAAGGAAGATATTCTACATGAACTATCTGAGCGAATTGGAAGAATACGTCAAGTGTGAACAGCTGGTGATACCCCAGAGGGTCAAGACGTAAGATGAATGTTTTTTTAAATAAAAAATATTTAGAATTTTGTATGTAATTTCTTTCTTTGCTGTGCGTTTTTAAAACAAGTACTAAAGCAGCACATTATTGCTTCTCCATGCCAAAAAAATAAGTTTAAAGTGGCTTCTGAACACCTTGTCTTTCAGTGATGCTGTCATTACAAATTGAAAGCTGAAAAGTCTTGGGGAAATTTGTGCAAGGAATCTGTGAAAATAGTCTCTGTGTTTTTCAAGGCTTTGTATTACTGAATGGCTAAAATGAGAATTATTTTTTATCAATCATTAAAAATATATTTTATACTGACAAGGAAACTTTTAATGTTGATTGTTTTCATTGATTTCTGAAGGAAATTAATTATTTTAATATTATTAATACCTTGAGACCCTAATGCTCAACAGATGGTAGAAGGTTTAGTACTGAGTAAATGTATCTATTTTTGCAGTTAAATAAATTAAGATAATTACTCAAGTACACTTTCCTTTAATGAAAATGTTCTTTATATTTACATACACCTGCATTTGTACTTGTTTTGTAACGGTTACTTCCTTAATTATGTTTTTGCTCATTAAAAACCAACTTTGAAAAATGAGGCACATAGAGTACTGTTTATATACAAGTAGGTATGTTTTTGTATGATTGAAAGGTTTGAGATTTTCCAAGGGTGGCCCATAAAATAATGCCCTGCATTTTCAAAACGTTCATTCTCACAGAAAAACAATTAAACTTGTTTAACTGGGAAATCTAGGGCTGTGAGTAGTTTCACTGCAATACATTTTGACCGAGAAAGGAGTGTCTTTCCGGCTGCCTTTCAAATGATAAAATACACATTTGTTTCAGTTCAGACACTGTGCTAGTTTTGAAAACTAATATTTTTTTTTCCAGTTATGATGACAAAATCAAGGCTGCGCAGAAGGTCTCACAAGCACAGAAACCAGTGCCGCCACATTCTCCACTGCCAGCCCAGCAATTCGGGCTCTTCCTCTCACAGTGCGTTCACAGCTTTTTAATCCGTTTTCCATTAGTGGTAAATATAAAGCAGCAATGTTTCCATTTGGTGTTCAACACCTGCACGTTTGACTCTTCATAAGCATGCTGTTTTTAGTAGAGACAACTGTTAACTTTTATGAGATTGAAAAAGTTAGGAATGGCCACGTCACAAAATGAATACTTTGGTCTGCCAGTCACAAGTTAAACACCCAGGATGTGATATAGACTTGTTCCTAGTGAAAAAACACCTTTAAATCCAGACTTTATTCAGTAATTTACATGACAGATGAGACAAAGAATTCACTGAATCCTTGGCAGGGGAAGGTTTTTTTTTAATTGCTCATTGTTTTTGCACAATTTTAAACATCTAGGCTTAAAAACACATTTTATTTTTAGTTTCACACATTCTGGCCAGCCTGAATCTGTGTCTTTTTTACAGTGCAATGCAGGCACTGATTGGTGTTTTGTATTATTTTGGAGAGCAGATTACAGGAGAAGAGTCCAGATAAAGACAAAATCCCCCTGGTAATGCGAGAGACAATCAGCTATTTGAGGGAGCATGGTGAGTCGATCCTAGTGAATGCTGCTTATTACTTCCTGTTCCATGACCATAAGAAATGATGTGCTAGTTGGCGACAGAAGTTAAGAAGACTGACTTCAAAATAATATAACATCTGTGCATTACTGCTGTGCAAATTGCTGTTTTTTGTTTTGCCCTAATTCTAGACATCTAAATGGTGTATATTATCCTGTTTTTATTATCTTATTGCTGTTGAGTTAATGCTGGTTGCTATGATTGAACTCTTTTAACATATTACCCTGAACTGAGGTGCAAGTGTTCCTCTGTTACAGCGGGTGAAGAACTCATTTAACAGGGCCTGAAGTGTTTAATGAAATTGCTGCTTAACCAGCTGTGTTTAATTATCCCGGAGAAGTTAATCAATCCAGAAGATAATGTCCTTTTTCACATATAATATTCTTCTGTTGCCTTTTCTATCTTAGGTCTTCAAACAGAAGGCATATTTCGAAGATCAGCCAATATATCCTTGGTCAGGGAAGTCCAGAATAAATACAATATGGGTAAGCAATGTACTGTAAAAGAAAAAAGCCATCTCAGATGCCTTGAAATATATTCAGGCAGCAACGTGCTGTTGAATCACTCGATATTCACATTTGTGTTTGAGGTCAAGGTCTTGGTGAGGGTTTAACAAAACTGATGTCTACTTTAGAGATGTTGTTTTGTTAAAATATGAAATGAAGTGCAGACATTTCAGTGTTTTGATTTACTTCGGTTTCGGTCTAATGTCGTGATTGTTCTTCTGGCACACCTTTCAAAAATGTAGAAAAAGTCTAAGACTGTATGCTGGTGTACATTTCCATGTGCGCCAGTGAACCTACTGTACGGAGTCTGATGGGGAGTTTTTGATTTTGAAGACAAAACACCATCTATCCATCCTGACAGATTCTGTTACGTAAGAGACACATACTCTGTGTTGGCTTGACTGTTGCTCTTCTTCCCTCTCCATGCCTCCAGGGGAAAAAGTGGATTTCCTCCAGTATGATGACGTCCATCTTGTTGCTGTCATTCTTAAAACATTCCTTCGGGAATTACCGGAGCCCCTCCTCACCTTTCGGCTCTACAATGACATTGTCAATTTTCACAGTAAGTTGCTGCCAACCTAATTAGGAGCTAACAACAGGTTATTGACTGTATCCCTAGAAGTGCCTAAATTAAGAAATACAAGATCAGATTTCTGAGTTACGGTTCAAAACATGAGTGAAGGGTGGCCCTGCATCTGAGGAGCATGTTTGCATGTCTGTGATGCAGGAATTACTGACACTTGAAACATTTCCTAAAATGGCCTGAGTTTAGGAAGGCATGATAGGGGAATGTTGTACTGACAAATACTGACATACTCATGGGCTGAGTAAAACAGAAAATAACCCAAATACCATGAAAAGGATTTTAGATCCTTTAGATGTTTGCATTTTTTTCTTCTTCTAGATCCCCTTAGTCAAGAGGAGATACCTTTAATCAGTGTGTAGAGGGCTCCGTTTTGACTGAGGCAATAACCTGCATGATCCTATTGATGACCACAGTCAAGACAATACAGGAGGAAATGAGTGGCTACATGCGTTTGAGAGTCTTACAGGCATTTTCCCCGAGTATTCCCTCTAACATCCTGATTTTCTGCAGGCATATAATGAAACTTGGTCACTTTTATAAATACCCCATGATTTTCTTACCCTTGAATGGATCCTTTTCACACTAAATGTTGAACAGCTATTGTGTTGAAGATTAAAAATTTAAATTTAAATCTTAAAACTAAATCCAAAGGTGCCCATGATCAAAGCCGTGCTCTTATCTGCAGATGTGGAAAACAGCAGTCAGGTGGCTGTACTCTGCAGCATGCTTCAGACGCTCCCAGATGAGAACTATGCTACTCTCAAGTATCTCATTCAGTTCCTGGCGCAGGTAAGAATTTGTGACCTTCTACAAAAAAAAAATACACCTTACACCTTTTTGGACAGGAGAAGCGATGTTTGAAGTATATACTATTTTCGGTCTGAGAAAACAAGAACGTTTTGTGTGGTATTTCTTTACAGATGTCGCACAGTCCTGTTTTTCCTCATACCATTTCTGACTTGAAAACATAAAGAAGATATATTTTTTGAAACTACATAAGAAAGGATACGAACAAGAGGAAGCCATATGGCCCATCTAGCCCACTTGGTATTTAGTAGAGAACTGACCTGAGGATTTCTTCCAGCCATTACTTGAAGGACATCATCCTCAACAACATGGCTAGATAGTTTGTTCCTTCAAAGTGCCTCCTTTTATTGGTTTTAAACTCAGTTCCTCAAAGATTCCACTTGTGTCCTCAGTCATGTGCCATTGTACAGCCCTTCAAGGGGTTAATGCTTCCCCGGTGCGTAGCGTGATGAATCAGATTAATCGGACGCCTAGTACGATCTGATGCTTGTCTTCCTTTAAGGAAGCCAGTTTGATCAGAATGAGTTAATCTCTGGATCGCAGATGCTAACCTATTAGCCAGAACTTTACAAATTATTTTAAGGTCCACATTTAATCAATCAATCAAAGTTTATTGATCAAATGCACAACAATACAGCATGCAGGAGTAGTTGCTGGCAAAAAATAAGGTTACATAATAATAGATAATAATGTAATAGAAATTGAATAAAATAAACACAGACAAAACTCAATATAAACAGAGCTGCTATGTGTCCAGGGTGTATGCAGTATACTATGTCCACATAGTGCAGTGTGCACAGTACAGTGAAAACAGTATCTCCATGTAGCCATTACGAGTGATTTGCTAAAGGAGCTGCAGGTTGGCTAATAAGCTTAGTGGACGGTAGTTTGAGCAAAAGGATGGGTTCTTATCTGCAAACCTTTTTACCCCTGGTTAAACGTAGGGGTTTGCAGGTGGTCCTCCCAGCGTAGATGCTCAGTAACCCAGGTGATGGCATGAGAGGACAGCTGCCATTAGTTTGGAATAGGTGCCTGTCACCTCTGTTTCATAGGATCTTCTGGAATCTGCAAGCTTACAGTAACACTAGAAAGAGATGCGTGGCCCCTCGGATTGATACTTTGTTGGGGAACTCGGAGTGTAATGTGCACCTGCGACCGGTGGGCATGTCAAAAGGAGTCCAATTAGGCGATCATAAAACAGAAAATAATTAGTGATTTCATTAAACAAACAGTCCTTGACTGGACCAATTCAATCCTTCTCCAAAGGTCTTAAAGGTGTTGTTTTAATGAGATCTTTAGATCTTTAGATCTTTAGAAACTGATTTAGGTTTTATCCCTAAGCCTGCACAGCAGAAGTTTTCTGCCTGAACAGCTGCTATGAAATCCGCCCGTTCTTGTTGCAGGTGTCCGATCAGAGTGGGGTAAACAAGATGAACAACACTAACCTGGCTGTGGTGTTTGGACCAAACCTGCTGTGGGGACGAGACGCAGCCATGACTCTGGGTGCCATCGGCCCGATCAACAACTTCACAAGGATGCTCCTGGACCATCACAGCCAGGTCTTTGAGCAGACCAGCCCTTAGCTCCACACTGGTCTCTCGCACTCTGCAATCTGCCGCCTTGTACACCTTCCCACGCCCATAATGTACAGTAGCTATTGCCAAACACACGCATTACAGAGAAATAATGGAACGTACAAAGTCTTATCAGCAGGATCCACTGAGAAAAACACAGTACATCCCTTTAGTGAAAAAACTATAGGAACTATATTTCTGCTCTCAATACTTCGAACACCAAGAAAGAAACATTTGGCACACCTTACAAGTCTGGTACTGTTTAGCAGAATGCCACTGGAATCACAAAAGGTTTGACGGTTTGTGATTCACAGTTAATTTTTATAATGGTACAGATAAACACTACCATATATATATATAAAAATGTACTGTATATGTATCAAAATACAGACTAATCTTAAGCAAGCAGTTGCAAAATAAATTGTTTTTCTTCACTGATGCTCTCGAACAACTGCCCAGCTTGGCAAAATAGAAAGCATTCAGTGCAGTGTTGTTGTTTTTAAAGATGCCTTATACTGTTAAGTAATTAACTTGTTTTATTGAAGTTTGATTTGAATTGATTATGGTAGGCATTAAGGAGATACTGAATATGACAATATTTGGTGAGCAGTACTTTTCAAAATACCATAT